TAATGGTAGTGGTAGTGGTAGTGGTCAAGAGGACATACAGCAGATAGCTCGAGTAGAGGATGGTGCTGAAGCAATAGTGGCTCTGGAAACTAGGGTTTCTCAATAGACGAGGGCTGAACGGTCCAATAGCAATAGAATCCGATGCGGATGAGAGTCCGATGCAAGTGGGGCATCGCCCGCTGGAACAGCAAGAAGTCCATGATGCAATAGTTGTGCTCGAACAGGCTGGACAGATGGGGATTTGGTGCGCGAGAGTACCTAGCAACATGACTGGGATTGTGGCGATGGAGTATGGCAACTTCCGATTGGAGGACAGCCCCCCGGAGTTAGTCAGGCGTAGGAATGCCGAAACTGCGTCGCGCAGGTAGAAAAAGAAGCTCTGAAAATGGAAGTGCGGATGACATGGACCAGAGTGGTGAAAGGCCTGAGGGGTCATAGGTCGGGGAGCAGGGGAATGACGAACTCGGAAAGTGACGAGACGATCGCATCGATGGACGGCTATCCTCAACCCCAAATGGTTGGTGACGAGGGGATCGTTACCGACGAGACAATACTTAGGGCAGTCAGTGAATGGAAGTCGAGGGCCAGTCCGGAATCTCCGATCTCTAGGAAAGAACAGGCCGAAGCCTTCACCCCACCTCCGGTATACTTAGGCAGATGTCCGAACGAATGCCAATAAAAGCGGGACCTCGTATCGACGACGAGATGACAGAAAGGATGGAAGAGTTCATAGGTGTTCCAACGTGGAGAGGGTCGTCGCGGGGAAAGTGAGGTCAATGACACTCTGCGGCGACATGAAAGCGAAATGAGTAGGATGAACAAGAGAAGCGAAGCCATGGCACATGTCCAAGAAGAAATAGATAGGATATGTGCGGTGGCAGATGAGAATAGGAAATCAGTTGAAGAAGAAAAGAGGGTCAGATTGCATGAGCATACCGTGATGAGTAGTAGGATAGAGGAGTCTATAGAACAAGGACGGAAAATAGCAGGGACGCGAAAACGATCAAGTCTGATGTCGATCGGATGCGTAAAGAGGACCAACAACATGGACAAGAAATACGTACGATCGGAGCCAGCGTCGCGCGTGTAAGCAGTATGGCTGCGTCGATAACGGAACGAAATGCGGAAGCGCTCAGAGAAGATTCAAGTATATGGCCGGGCCAGCTCAGCTTCTACGTGTTCCCAGTCAGAGTTGTAGGCATTCTTGGCTGCCTCGATGGTCGACTCTGTCCATAACTTGACATTGCACTTGTCACACCCACGTCGGTCAGCGTTATGCGACGTCGAGCCACCAGGCCGGATCGGTCTGCTTCCTCTGTCGTTATTGCACTTGTTACATAACATATTTCGTCCTCGCTCAAATTAGCGTTACGCGTGTGTCTATTACAGAGTTTGCATAGTCCCCCCATTCCGCGCCCGACGGGCTCTCGACATATGTGACATTGCGGCCTCGGTTCCCGAACGTCCTCTACAAACAACCACTACCGCTAGGAGGCCGTCGTTCTCGACCATCTCTCGACCGTCTTCCATCTTGCCGTCTCGAGTTTGTTTGTTCCTGGTATTTCCCTCGGGCCTGTGATCCTTGCCCAGGATTATGTCGGGTTCTTTGGTTGTTGTGCTGGCATCGTTGCGGACCATAAGCACTCCCCGGCAGTTGACTTCGGTATTGTTCCGACACGCTGGAGAAATTTTCATCATATGCAATGAATGCAGGAGTATGACCGGAACTCCTAGACATCGCCTGGTACGGCATATCTCTCCTCCCTTGACACATACTCAGAGCTCCTAGACGGGAGCTTGCATCATTTCTCTCATTCGAACCCTGAGTACCCTGACCCTCTCCGCCATTCCTCCGGGTTCTGGTTATTGTAGCTGTATAACTTGATGGTGTAACGCCGCGATCTCGTCCTTCTCTCTTACCACCTCTCTCTCCCGGAGCTCTTCTCGCGTGGATGGCCCGACTTGCAGCTCCTTCAGCTTATCCATTTTACTGTTTATATCTGCCGGCTAATGGGTTTGGCTCTGCGATTCCACGCGCATGTCAGCCAGCTTCCTCTCCACGCTGTTCCACGCCAATCGTAGCATCATCATACGATTTCCCTATCGTGAGACTGTTCTCTTTTATGAGTCGTACTTGACGCGCGACGGCAGCCTCAACAGTCTTTACCCGCTTCTCGACTTCGTTCGGTCGTATGCTGTTCTACGTGTCTATCTCGTATTATCTGGTTCTCCATCCGCCCTCGCGGCGTCGTCCTCTGCATCAGGTATTTCCCAGCTTCCATCGCTAGCAACTGGCTCTTTCTCATCGATATTCTAGTATGTCTTGTACTCCCTCCCTATGGCATGGGCAGCCCCATACTCCTTCTTGAGATCTCTACTGTTGCCTTTCCCGCCAGCGCCGACCTTAGCCTCGATCTCGAGCAGACGTCGGTCTACGTCTTGCCTCAGGTCGAATACAATGCGCTGTTGGTGGTCCTGTCCATTACTAGGTTACCCACGGTTCTTTCTCCTTTGACGTTCCACATCGAATGTTTATCAGTACCTTGATTCATTCCCTTTAGTGTCGTGATTATACCTTGGCCAAATCCGACTTTAGATTTTGAGTCTCGCCACCCAAAAGTTTCGAGCGGGAATGATATGGTGATAGATGTACTGATGTACCCCTAAAATACGCCGTGGTTGAGTCTGAGCTGTCTAATGCGTTAATAAACTGCGTGTAGTCTGAAGCGCCGAAGTCGAAAATAGAGACACGGAGGTTCTCGAACCTCCGTGACAAGGGCACGAAGACCGCTAGGCGCCTCATGAGAACAATACTTGACCACTACAAGGTAGCAAAGGGAGAGGAGAGCATGAATAATGCGCAGGCTCTCATGGCGTTGGAAGTGGTGCCAGTAGTGGGGAAAGACGAAGAAGAAAGCCTCGAGCAGTTCCCGACAAAATGGGACAGATTGGTCACCCTAATACAAATAAAGGGGCACGCGAATAAGTGCATCCGATACAGAGCTAGCAACCATATTCGTGTAGAAAGTTGAGGAATTGGGTAGAATTAGAGGTGACGCAATAGCAGTGGCCACGTTCAGCCAAGACTGCTTGGGAGCATCAGGGAGAAGGCCGAGACGGTAATCAAATTGTGGAGGCTGAAGAAGAATCGAGTACAGGCTGAGGCGATGTGGCAGATACCAACTCTGCAGCAGGGCACCCCGCGATGCTAACGTTGCAAAAGCAGGGTTAAGCCAATAATGGGCGGAGGCAAGGACAAGGGCAACGACGGCACAAATAGAGGGCTATGTCTTGTTCGCCAAGGGGTGTATGCTGGGACTACGCAAGGGGTCGATGTCGAATGGGAAGTGATTGTCGAATTTCGCACGACATAGTCGGACACGAGTCCGTGCGAAAGACTCTTATCGACGCGGGCTATTGCTACGAGTATTTTCGTACAGACATATGTGAGGGTAGCTGCGAAGTTAATGAGACAGGATGCACTACCGGACACTCCTAGACCCTGGTGGAGCACCGACCGCCCAACGTGAAGAACGGGAGGACAAAGACGGCCCAGGGGAAGGCTCGATTTACGAGACGGTGACTGCTGCGGCGGCGGTGAATTCGCGACCCACTGGCTCCCCGCCTGCGGACAGAGTGGGAGCATGCAGAGTCGCTCGAGGAGTTTGAGGCGGATCAAGGTGGTCGCCCTTAGGCCCGGCCCCGCGGCCGAGGAGCGGTGCGGCATGATTACGTCGGCCGCGGCTGGCGGTGATGACGCCGTTGCCGGTTCCTTTGAGTTGCAGTGAGGGCGGTCGTGGACCAGAGGTCGCAGGCGCGCGAGCGCAGACCGCCTGACCTGCTCGAAATCGGCAAACCCGGCTTTAGCCGATGCTGTATAAGTACAAGTAGAAGTAGAATAGACGTAGACGTAGTAGTGAGAGTCGAAGAAGAAAAAGTAGTAATAATAATAATAATAGCAGAAGTAGTGGTAGTCGTAGTAGCAGTCGGAATAGGACTAGGATGGGGACTGTTTCCAATATTTTCGTTTTGTGCTTTTTCTCATTTCCGGCACGGACGGGTTCCTTCGTTGTTTCATGACCCACGTTTTGGCATTTCCTGGCTCGCTCCCGACTCGTGCCGTCTTGGCTCCGAGTCTTGGCACCCGACTTCTGCATCACCCAAGGAGTCGTACTGGTGTGTCTGCCTTTATCATTTCGCTAAGTTGTTACTGTAATTAATTACTATTGGACTTGCTGTTCTTGACTACTTCTGCTTTTATAGTTGCTATCGCAAATTAATATTGACTATTGCACTATTTGTACTGCTCCTCATTACTACTGTTCTTACCAGATAGTACGCTTGCCATTACTATGATTCTATACCTAGTAGTACTAGTGATAGGAATTGAGGCTCTTCCTCGGTGCATGAAGAGGTGCATGTACGTAGATTTCGTTTTTGCGAAGAGCTCGGTTTGGGAAACCTCAACCTCCCAACCCCGCTACATGTTGTCCTCGGCAGAGTTTAGGTGGACAATCCAATGGGAACAGTACTCAGCGGAACCTGGTCAGATGAAGGGCCAATTTGTTCCTTCACCTTGGACAAGTGGGCAGCCGTCTTCGCGAGACAGATTTTCTACGTGCGGCTGTCTGTGAACAATCCTCGGCAGGCCTTCGTAGGAGTCGAACATCCGCGTTCTCGCAACAGGCGTAGACGTAGCCCTGCCGAGACAGTGACAGTGCTTCAACCTTAAACGCGCAGATTGTTTCTGTTTGATATTTGCTGGCTCAGCTTCGTGCTGTATGTGTCTAACTGGCTTTGGCGCTGCTGCTTCGTGCAGCATGATCTCCTGAGCTCCAAGCCTTGCATCAGGCGCTGATGCGCACCGACCCGACAAATGTGTGGCAAATTAAGCTCTCCGGTGCGAATGCGACGCTGCTCGGCGGTTTGGTCAACTTCATATCCCTGGCCGAGGAGCTTGGAGTTTTGTGCTTGGCGTTGCAGCCACTGCGCGTTGGGTTCAGGCTTGCACCGTTAAAACTGATTCGGGAACCTGTCCCGAACACCAGATTGCAATCAATTCCTGGATCCAATGGCTTTAGATTTGGGTGAACATGAAGTGTCTTCTAAAGCCGACTTGCATGAGCCGTGTTTTCAGACAATTTTTCGGCCGATGGTTCAAAGACATACATCCAAACTGTCCGAGTGATAGCAGCCAATATTGGCAACGCTAAGGGGTGCCAATGTAGATACGTTTTGCAGTTTACATGATCTCAAACCGGCAGGAAGTGAATTTGCCGGGCTGGGTTGGCAGCTTCGGCAAGCATGCAGAAGCAGTCGTGCACATCTGGCCTCTTTGCAGATTGAGCCCCGGAAGGGGTCCTTCCCCGCTTTCGTTAGCTGTCCTTTCACCGCAGGCAATTTGGCCGTTCTTACTCCTCTTGAAGGAGAGTCGCTCCAGCCGTCCAACCTTTCTGCTGGAGCAACAAACGAGCTCAGCGTGTTCTTCCAGGCACGGAAAGACTGGACGTGAAAGCATCGGAAGCGGCGTGTGCTTGTGCGCTTCAGGTGATCCATGCGATGCCCAGGTTTTCCCACCTTCTTCTGGACGCCCCGGATGGATTCGACTTTACGGACAACTGTAGCGTTGGCTCGCTGGAAGATGCTTATTATGCCGACTGGGACGGATTGCCGTGGGGGGAGACCGTCTTAGGACCTCGAGCTTTGACAAGCTCTCTTGGACTTGATGTGAACTGCACCACTGACAACTGGAAGCGTAGTGTGTTGTCGCCTCCGGCGACTGCAAACTTTACCAGGGCGATCCTGAGGATTGGTCGCACACTGATTTCTAACAAGTACTATGCCTTCAAGGTCCGCGTCATTAATTCAGTCCAGTGGGACGCATCGCACCATGATGACTGGCGAATCTGGGTTCAGAGCCCGGAGGGCTACATGGTTGACGGCTCAAAATACACAATACAGTTTAATTCTGCTCGTATTGACACACTGCCACAGTCCTACTGGGACAAGAGCTGGGGCGTGTACCAAGACCCGATGCAGCTGCCATTGTCATTGGATTTTGGGCAAAGCCTTCTGCTTCCCACGTCTGTTTTTGACATGAGTACCCTGATGACCGTGTATCCTCTCACTCCAAGCAGTGACGGTCAGCTCATCAACGTCCGTATGCTCGCACCAGTTGGCTATGTCTGGGTTCCGCATGTCACAGAAGGTTGGCGAGGATATGTACCCAATGTCACATGTGAGTTCTGTGAACTCATCGTGACTCCCCAAGTCCGGCTCTTTAACGAGCTGATCCTGCCTGACCTTGTCATGCGTCTCGGGCACCTCTATGGTTTCCAAGTACGCGTGCGAGTTCCTGAAAGACCGCCCACTCGATCTTTGAATGCCTTTTACTTGGAGATGGGTTTCGACCCTGGTGACTTCGACTTGGATCGAATGCAAGCACGCATGCTTCTGCCTCCACCCCTGCGAGTTGTTTCCCAGGCGCGGGTGGACTCTCTCTGCAATCTTGCAGGTTATGCGGACAACATCGTCGAGTTTCATGTCCATATTGCATCTCCACTTGAGGCTCCTTCGCAGATATATTGACATATATTGACATATATATATATATATAATATACAGACACACAGAACCGAACGCATTCCAGAATCATTATATATATATATATGTATGTATGTATGTATGTATGTATGTATGTATGTATGTATGTATGTATGTGTGTATGTAATTATGTATGTATGTATGTATGTATGTATGTATGTATGTATGTATGTATGTATGTATGTATGTGTATATATATATACACACACTACTGGTACGAGTAGTTTGCTGCTCAAAAGTCTATTGCCTGCACCGTTCTCAGAAATATGCTGTGCAGCCAGTGCCGAGGTGAACTCGGGCTTCTTGTTCGCTGGCGATGAACTAACGAGAGGAACTTTGCTTCGCTGCTGGCCGGAGATCCTGATTGGGCCTGTTCTGGATGCCACGAATGGCCTTTGTTCAGTGACTGAGAACATTGTCACAGCGTTGCCCCTGGGAACACGACTGGAGCATTCATTTGGGCAGACGTCGTTCTTTTCCTCTATTTTCTTTCGACAAAGCCTGGTGGTTGTGGAGTTAGAGTGTTGCCATCTCGACCAGGCCCGAGATTCTTCTCTATGTCATTCGTGGTACTTCGCCGGCAGGCCCATGGTTTGCACGTGTACGATTTCAGCCTTTAAAGTCTTGCAATCTTCGTGTTTGCCAGGCATGCGTGTGTTCCGCTTCCGTCGAAGTCGCAATCCTTTGCAGCCCACAAGCCAGGGGGGCACCTGGAATTTCGGAACATTTGCAGATCTGCCTCCCTGCTAAAGTTGCCTAACGTTGTGCTGACCCAGTACTCGGAGGGGTTCTCAAGCGTGGTTGCAGTCAAGAGCAAAGGCACATGTACCCCAAGCACAAAGTGTTGGATCTGGGCAAGGACATTCCGGAAGCTCGGCTGCAGCAAATCATAAGTTGGCCCCAGCGAGAGGCGCAGCCACGCAGATGGTATTTGCACTTTCCAGTAGTGGCATAAAACTATCCCGCTTCAAACGTAGACAAAGCAACCCTCTTTCTACTTGGAGTGAGTGCCTTGGTTGGAACCCCTTGAAGAAGGCACCTTACACAACCGATCTGTCAAATTCTTATCGGGGGCTCCTAAAAAAAGACAAGCATGAGATTGACTGGGAGTTGGGCACGTGCTGTGTATTTCTTGCCTCAAACATCCGACATCACCCAAGCAGATCAAACAGCCGCGACAAAGCTTCGACCTAACTGTGGGCACAGTTGGCAGCACAAGTGTGTTGTGATATGAATGTCGCGGTAGCTCCGAGCAGTCCGTGTTCAGGACGCAGCTGTGATACAGCAGGGTGGCAATAATGGGACGCAAGATATCGAGCGCACAGCCCAAAAGGCAACGCCAGCAGCAGCAGCTGCAGCAGCTGCAGGAGCAGGACTAACAGCAACAGCAGCAACAGCAGCAGCAGCAACAGCAACAAGCAACAGGCAACAAACAACAGCACCAGCACCAGCCCCAGTCCCAGCCCCAGCCCACCCCCAGCACCAGTCACCCGCCCACACACCCACCCACAACAACAACAACAACAACAACAACAACAACAACAACAACAACAGCAACAACAGCAACAACAACAACAACAAGACCATCAACAAGAGCAAGAAGATGAAAGAAGGCGATAGAAGGCTCCGACGCAACGTCAAGGTGCGCGCGGCTTTGTAAGATCATGGAAACACGCGTGCACGAGTCCGCAGAAGATGGTTTCAGCAGCATCAACAAAAAGTGCTTCTAAACTCTTGCATATTTTATTGCGTACTGTAGGACAACGGCACAAAGTCCTTAGCAGGAACTGCGGTTTGGTAGTTTTTTGGAGGTTCTCAGAGACGGTTCCGGGTGTATTCTGCACTCGCAATGTGTTTGGCATTGTTAGGTTCTCAAGGCCAGGGTTTACTATTACCGGGTCTCGGGGCCTTGAACCCGCAACCCTAAACGTTGCCCCCGGCAAAGGGCCTTGCTTCCAGCCACGGCCCTTGTCAGGATCTAAAAAGGTTTGGCAGAAAGCCGCCAGTTATCGCGGTTCGGGTGTGGATGCACTGCGGCAACAGATGGGGTCCGAGTGAACATTGTCATCACGGTTCGGGCATGGATGCGCAACGACAACAGATGGGGTCGGAGTGTACATTATTATCACGGTTCGGGAGCGGATGCCCTGCGACAACGGATGGGGTGTCAAAGTCCTTTGCAGAACGTTGTGAGGAGCATTCACGTGCACGGCGTTTCAGAAAATACCGCGCTCGGATCACAGATATTATAGTTCTTGCTGCAAGCCGGATCTTATACTGCATTGTGTGCAGTAGGATGTAAAATTGGAACCCGTCATTTCAATCATAGCTTGGCTGCAGGGCAGCTCGAACCACGACGACATGCAGTCCTGTGAAACCACAATCCTGCGCAACCCATGCACGCATGCAGACCTCTAAGTCTGGGTCCAGCATGCAACAGGTTCCTCGCGTCCTGGCGCCACTGCTGGATTCTGGATTGCTGCAACCGCCGGTGTATGAGGTGTGCATGACACATTCTTCCTTTTTCGTTCCTTTTTGGATGCCAATCTGCCCCCATGATAGGCTCCAGGCTATGGGCGTGATGATGGACCACTGCGTCTCAACTTGCTCACCTTCTTCTTCAAGGCCCGGGCCCGCGGCCCGCAACCTTCACAGTTACCATGTGCAAGCGGCAAATTCAAAGCAGTCCCGGTCAGGTCCAGGAGCATCCGGAAGTTCCCGAGAGCGTACCTTACCTCTACATCGCCCTGCGCGGGCCCGCGGGCTTCAGCTTCGAGGAGGATTGCTTTCCGAACCTTGTGGCTCTCAGTCCAAACCTGGGCTCTCGACAGTTTCCTTGCAGTGCAGCCCAATTCCCAGCGCAGATGTGGTGTCCGGGCATCATTGAACCTTGGCCGGAGAACTTGGAACCCGTGGCGTGCCTGGGAATTCTCAGCAGCGCGCGGATTTCGGTGCCAAATCCCTTGGTGTTGCAAGCCGCAGCACCTGTGGGTGCGCCAGTTCCTGCTTTTGTCGACAACAGCATGTATGCCTTCAAGATTCAGGTTCAGAATCCAGAGTTTCAGGTTGAGTCGGGAAGCCAGTGGGCTCTGGACTTCGTGTATGAAGCGGGCGTGCCGTTTGATTCTCTGCCAGTGGCAACTTTTGATCACGAAGAAACGATGCTACGTCTGGCATCGGCCCTGCACGTGCAGCCACTATTTCAGACGGTAGACCAGCAGTACATGGCTTTCCGCTGCTAGGATCGAGCTTAGAGTTGCTCTTGTCACTCGTAAAGTCATCCTCTCCGTGCCGCTTCTCGTGGCATCAAGGCTTGGACTTCAAGCCCTACACACTGGTCCCAGCGCCAAGAATGCTCAGGACAGGCCGCAAGACGTGTGACTGTTTGCGAACACTTGAATGTGCTGCATGAAGTTTCTTTGCGTTTCGGTGTTGTTGAATCTCGACGGCGTTTGCGGGCTGCAATATCGCCCTGTTTGCTCGAGTGCTGGAAAGGAGTTAGTGCCTTGAAAAGGTTGAAGTTGGACTCATACCGTGCTCAGTGCGAGCAGACAGCGCCGCTAGTGGAGGGCGGGGGGGGGGGGGGGGGCGCGGTGACTCGTCCAGGACTGCTAAAGGGGGGAGATAGGGATCAATAAGAAAACGCAAATTTGGATCCACAAATTAATTTGGATCAATAAAAATCGAAGTTGGATCCAAAAGGTTAACTAGCAGGAAAGGAAGGAAGGATCGAAGGAAGTTAAGGAAGTTAAGGAAGGCAGGCAGGAAGGAAGGAA